GCAGTTCAGACTCATAGCAGTCCTCCTGTATCAGCCTCCCAAGTTCTGGGATTACAGAGGTGTGCTACCATGTCCAGTCTCAGGGCCAGCAATGGTGCACCTGGGGTTTCGGGGCCAGCACAGCATGCAGTACCGGGAATCGACCTCAGATCCTTGCACTTGCCAGGCAGGCACTTAGACCACCGAGCTATCTGTCCAGCCCAAACGCAAGGCTTTTATAGGTAAATGGATGCAACTTGAGATCATACTCTTAAGTGAGATAAATCAGACTCGCATGTGTAAACAGTGTATTATCTCCATAGTGTAAGAAATCAAAAGGGAATAAACTCCAAAATGTACAATAGATATTGTGAAAGGGAAACTGCTCAAGAGGAAAGAACAATTGGGATGGGGGAAACAAGAAAAGAAGGAAGGGATGCTAAGATAATTAATTGTATTACTAATTTCTATTAGTTCTTTGAAAGGTACAGTTACTGTTGATATTGTTTGATCAACTTACATGCTTATATCTGGTCATCTGAGCAACTACTTTGAAGATAACATTATGCCATACAATAACCATTGTTAATGTCCTATTATTTTGTTTTGAAATTCTGTAGCATTTTTGTTTTTAAAATTAAAAATTAAATAAAAACATTCCATTAAAAAAGAAATTCATACTGGAAAACAGAATGCAGCAAATCATCAAGAAGATCATACACCAAGAACAAATACGTTTCATCTAAGGGATGCAAAGATCATTCAACATATGCAAATCAATAAATGTAATACACCTTAGTAACAGCGCCAAGAACAAAAACCATTTGGTCACCTCAACAGATGCAGAAAAGGAGTATGACAGAGTCCAACACTCTTTCATGATAATAAAAAAACTTTCCAGAAAGTTGGACTGGATGATCTTTATCTCAATCTAACAAAAGTCATCTTTTATAAACCAATATTATATCTAATATCATACCAAGTGGGCAAAAACTGAAAACTTTCATTCAAATATCCAAAACATAACCAGGATGTCCACTGTCACCACTATTCAATATAGTTCTTGGAACTTTAGCCAGAGCAATTAGAAAAGCAAAAGAAATAAAAGGAATAACCAAAAGGAAGAAGTTAAATTATCACTATTTGTGGATGACATGATATTCTACATAAAAAAACCCCCCCAAAACTTCTAGATTTGATAACAAAATAAAGAAACATTTTGGATACAAAGTGAACACTCAAAAACTAATAGCCTTCCTATACATAAATAACAAACTCACTGAGAAAGAAATTAGGGAAACAATATTTTTCACAGTAGTATCCAAAAAAACCCAAAAAACACACAAAAACCAACAATGAAATACTTAGGAATCAACCCAGGATCGGGATATAGCTCAGTGGCACAAGCACCTTCCTGGCAAATGCAAGGTCCTGAGTTCAATTTCTGACTTAAAAAAAAAAAAAAAAAAGAAAGAAAGAAAAGAAACGAGGGCCAGTCGAATAGCTCAGTGGATTAAAGCGGCTGCAAGCAGGCGCAGAGGCCAGGAGTTTGATCTCTGGGCCTGCCCTGCCGGCCCCACCCCTGGGGCACACTAAGATGGCAATTGAGACTGGGTGTGGCAGCACGCACCTGTAATCCCAGCTCTTGGGAGGCTGTAAACAGGCAGATCACTATGAGTCTGATCTAGTAGTGAGACCCTGAACACTCTGTAGACCCTTCCTTAAAAAAAAAAAAAGAAGAAGAAGAAAAGAAAAACCACCAACACCTGTGAATCAATCTAATGAAGGAGTAAAAGGCCTCTCTATATGGAAAACTATAGTACTCTGAAAAAGGAGATTAAAGAGAATATCAGAAAATGGAAAGATATCCTTTGTTCTTGAGGAGGAAGAACAAATACAGTGAAAACAGCCATACTTCCAAAATTGTTATACAGGGCTTGCGGGTTAGCTCAGTTGTCTAAAGAGCCTACTTGGGCAAACTCAGTCAGGCGCAGGGGACCGCAGGTTCAATCCCCCAGCACCACATGCCACACCAGACCTGCTGAGCAGGTAAGGTGAGGCAGCCTGAGCCAGCCAAAAAACAAAAACAAAAAAATCCTTCCAGAATTGTTATACATATTTAATGCAGTCCTGATCAAAATTTCAACAGCATATTTCATTGAATTAGAGAAAAAAATTCTAAAATTCATTTGGAATCAGAAGAGGCCTAGAATAGCAAAGACAATTCTGGGCAACAAAGGTAAAGAAGGATGCATTATAATCCCTGAAATTATACTACAAAGCCATTGTGATAAAAACAGCATGATATTGGCCTCCCCCCAAAAAAAATCCGGACCCAAGGATCAATGGAACAGATTAGAAGATGCAGAAACAACTCCAAACATACTTAGCCACCTTATCTTTGACAAAGGTACCAAACACATTCACTGGAAAAAAGATTGGCTCCTTAATATATGGTGCTGCAGGGCCAAGGATATAGTTCAGGGGCCCAGTGCCTGCTTGTCAAGCACAAGGTCCTGAGTTCAATTCCTGGTACCAAAAAACCCCACCTCAAACCACAAACGTATACAGTGCTCCAAAAGCTAGTTTTGTATTTGCCAAAAATTAAAATTAGAGCCATATCTTTCATGATACTTTGAACTAAAATCTAAATGATCAAAGACCTAAATATTAAAAGAAAAAACATTAAATCTCCTGAAAGATAGAATAGGTAGAACTCTTGATGACACTGGTGTAGGCAAAGACTTTATGATTAAAATCACAATTGTATAGGAACTAGCACAAAGAATTAACAACTGGGATCTCATCTTATAAAAAAAAAATCAACCTTTTGCATGGTAAGAGAAACCACCAACAGTGTGCTGAGACAACACACAATATGGGGAAATATTTTTACCAGCTGTTCCTCAGACACAAGACTAGTATCTAGAATATACGAAGAAGTCAAGGGCCAACCAGATAGCCCAGCAGACCAGGTAGCCCTGCTTAGGCAGGCGCAGCGACAGGGGTTCAATCCCAAGCATGCTGTGCTATCCCCGCCCCCAGGCACGCTGAGATGCTGAGACTGGGTGTGGTGGTGCGCACCTGTAATCCCAGCATTTGGGAGGCTGAAAATAGGAAGAACACTACAAATCCCATCTGTGGAGTGAGACCCTGTAGACCTTGTCATATATATA